TTCTTTGTTACTGAAAAAGGTCAGTGTTTGAGTTAAATACTTGTTATTCAGTACTCAGAGTTGCCGAACTGTCCAATATTACGGTTTTCAAGCAGTTCAATTGATTTTTGATTCGTAAACGAAAAATCTATTTCTTTAAATGAGAAATAAGCAGTTTATTTCGTCTTATAAATATGATAGAGTAACGATGCTTAAAACTTAAAATAATTGTTCTATAAAACAATAATTTCTATTTTTTTTTTTTTTTTTTTTTTTACAAATATTTCATTATTGAATAATATTTTATTCTGACAGAACTAAGGCCATAAGTAATAGCGATACAGAAGTTCATTCACACCGTATATACAATAAATAAAAATGAATGAAACAGAACAATAGCAAAATTATAATACTTTTTTTTATTTATTTATTTAGTGATCTTTTCTTTGTTTTAAGTTTCTTATTTTTAAATTATTTTATTTTATTTATTGTATATATATTTTGATTATTATTTATTGTTATTTTGCTTCTATTTATTTTATATTTTTTTGTATAGATAATATGAATGTTATCCTACCTCACTATAACTAATACCCAAGTGATAGATTTTTGTAATACTCAATAAATAAATAAATAAGGAAAGTAAAAAAAAAAGAAAGAAATATGATAATCTTTCGCGTGGACTATAATTATAGTGAGATATGAACACATTCACTCCATATAATATTAAAAATAAATATACATAAACAGCAAGAAACTTAAACTATTCAAAATAAGAACTTAAATACAGACCCTATCCATTTAAAATATCAGTTTCTAATGAGATAAAATACTAAATTTTCTAATTGTCACTATCAATATTATTGTTATGAGCAAATATTTATTTAAACAAATTGGCTATTTGGCAGCATTTGTCTAAAAAAGAACAAAAACATCTCTCTCCCTGAAACTTCATTTACGCTCTTCTATAATACTGATAATATTATCACAACTATCATTCAACGAAAAATTTATATTTTTCCTTATTTTTAAAATACATTTTGAGCGTCATATTTTATTTTAATTTCATTATAATTTTCAATGAATCATTTAAACTTTTCAGAATAGAAAATTCCCCAGCTTAAGCAAGTTCCCTTTCTTATCACTTAACTGTTGGTAATCATTTTGCTTCAAAATCTTTTTAACTATTTCACTGAATTCATATTTTAGAGAATATATAATTTTTGAAATAATTCATTATTCCTGTTAAATGCATTCATTCAGCACACTCTAGGTACAGGATGTTCAAACTATTTTAATTTATAAAACAGGAATGAATGTGTGACAAGATTTCTCTCTTTTCTGTTCTTTTATTTCTTTTAATTTTTACAGTGTTTTTTTTTTCTTTTTCGCAAGTATTTTTCTATTTCTTTCAATGTATACATTTTTATTTATGTTTTATTGTTATTTTATTTTGTTCTTAGCTTGTATTTCAATTTGTATATAAGAATGAATGTTAGCATAGAGCCATAATACCAAATGCCCTTGATTCTGGTACATTTTATTGTTACTATTCTAATAAATCTATTATGATCTTTGCTAGAGAGTAAAAAAAAAATGATGAAACGACATTTAAAATCTGTCATTATTTAACCATTTATAGTATAATATACAGGGTATCTCAGTTCTTAATGGTCAATCTCTGGGGGGGGGGGAGAGGGAGGAGTGTGATTTCTAACTTTCTGTGCTTTATAAAATTTCTAACAAAAAGTTCATTTGGTGCATGGGCCAATACCGAAAGGAAAAGTATTTAAGACCAATTTTGTGTGGTCACATGATTTATTGAATAAGAAGGAATTGCTCAAAAACTGTTAAAGATAATAAAATTCTAAGTACACCATCGTAAAGTAGACACATTTTTGTTTTAGAAAGCCGTGATTAAATTTACTAAGGTCAATGATAAAATGTACTTTCAGGTCTAATACTGCCGCTGTACAGAGATATGCTCCTCGTGTATGGGTACAGTGACTGCAGTAGCAGAGCAGCCGTATTAGACCTCCTGAAAGTCTCTTTTATAATTGACCTTAATAATGGTTCCCAATCGAGCGGACCTTCAGTTAAAAAGAAGAGAAGAAATAATACTGACAAGGGTCCGAATCGGCCACTCACGGCTAACTCATGAGCACCTGATGAGAAAGGGGACGCCCCCTCAGTGTCTCTGCTACGGGGTCAATTTAACAGTCAGGCACATTTTGACTGAATGTTATGGATATGAAAATCAACGTAATGAAGTTGAATTTGAGAACGATATCACTGAAATTCTAAAAAATACTACCAAATCGGCAAAAAAAGTCTTTACACACAAAATTTAAAATTTGCTGACTCTTTTATTGTTTTCAATATTTTATGCTTTCAATTTATTGTTAAATTCAATTTCATCTGATGTAAAATAAATATTTTGTAAGGGCTAAAATGACCCGTAAGAGGTTGAGAAGCCCCGCCATTGTTGTGAATAAATAAATTGACCTTAATAAATTTAATCACTGTTTTCTCAAAAGAACTTTGTCGTCTTTACGATGTTGTACTTAGAATTTTAATATCTCGCCGTTTTTGAGCGATTCCTTCTGATCGCAAGCGGATCTAAGGGGGAAAGAGGATGAGGGCTTTCGGGCTGAAGTCCCCTCTCCCCTCCCCCAAATGGTAAAATATATTTATATCTTACGAAAAAATTGTCGCTAAAAAGTATTATTGTTCGTTAATTACATTCAATCGGACTTCAAGAATCACTTAAACAGTATTTCTTATAAGTAGTTATAGTCCGTGGTACTTTTTATCGAATGTGACGTGGCACCCTTTTTATCGAATTATTAACATCCGCCTGAAACTTTGTGAATAGTTTCATCTCATCGTAACCTACAACTATTTTATGGGACTTGGTGCTGGTGTTAAAGTATGGAATAGAGATTAGTCCGTAGTACAGACCCCTTTTTATCAAATTATTAACATCCACCTGAAACTTTGTATATAGTTTCATCTCATTGTAACTCCAACTATTTTATGTACGAAAAATCTTGACATTGAGGCGTTTTCAATCTGGAGGGGGACAAACTTCGTCTATTTAGTTAATAAAAACTCGTAAATACCCATTTGCTTTCTTCTTGGATCTTAAGATAATTTGATCACAACATCGAGAAAAAATGTGGCCTTCAAAAATATTGGGCCGTTTGTTCAATATAACCTCGTTATTTTGAAAAATTGGGGGTGTAGGTTACGCCAAACGGCTCAATATTTTTAAAGGCTACCTTTATCTCGGTTTTGTGACTAAATTATCTTACGGTCCAAGTAGAAAGCAAATTGGTATTTACGAGTTTACCTCAATTAAAAATAATTAAATAAACAAATTTTGTCCCCCCTCCAGATTGAAAACACCCCAATTCCAACAGTTTTCGTAAATAAAATACTTGTAGATTATGATGAGATGAAACTATTTACAAAGTTTCAGGTGGATGTTAATAACTCGATAAAAAGGGATCTCTACTACGGACTATTTGTTTCTTTCTTTTTCTTCGAAAGTAATTATCCTTAAATATATAGAAAAATAAGCTTTCGGGCTGAAGCCTTCCCAAAATTAATTTCTGGATCCGCTAGTGCTTCTTATTCAATAAAAAAACGTGACCCCACGAAATTGGTCTACGTTTCCGTTCGGAATCTACCAATGCATCAAATGAAATTTTATGTTGGAAATTTTTCCTGAAATCATCCCCCAGAGGTTGGACATTAAGAACTAAGATATCCTGTAGAAACAACAGTTATAATACGACAGCCACACTGCAAAACACTGTAAGTATAATTTTATTAGATCGTGTCGTTTAGAGTTTTTTAGTCTACTTCGGGCTCGCACACGTTTAAAATTGCAAACCAAAAACATTATTGAAAGATATATTTGTCTTAAGAATATACACTAGTATAAATTAAACGAAAGTTCTATATCTTTAAACAAGTAATATGTAGTGTGTTTGGTCTTAATAATAATTTTAGTTTTCGTACGTACATGCCTTACGTTAGCCAATAATAATTAATCATAAAAAATGTATATTAACATCAGCAATGTAGATTAGGTTATAAAAAGGAAAATATATGTTCCTCCAGTTCGGGGGTACTTGTAGCTATATTTCCTCCAGGTACTCTCTCCCCCTCCCTACACCTTCGTGAAGTTTTAGTGATGCAACTTTAATTTTTATGACAATATAGTCTTTAGTCCTAGATCCTTAATCAGCCTTCTCCATTTCTGCAGATCTAGGGATATTACATTCCCGTTCTATCTCCATTCAGTTCTTTGTTTTATCGATATGTCTATCTGGTTATTTGGTCTTGCTCACAATTGAAGAATTTATTGTTGTGTTGGACTGCTCCGAGCTTGGATGTCTGTCCCCCCCATGTGCATAAATCACCTTCTTCCCCTCTTGTTACGAAGTTTTATTGTTCTCATGTTCTTAAATACAGTTCACGCGAAAAATTAATTGGAAACAAATATAGATGATATACAACTACCCTGCCTATACTCTCGTCCATGTTTTTCTCTTGTCACCTGGTTGAAAATATTCATTCCGAAAATTCAAACTAGTCGGAATGTGCCGTCTTAAATATTCTAAACCCCTTCAAAATCTATCTTCCTCCTTAGAATTTTTTTTCGCGCAACTTGCATCATGAAATCCTTTTGGGCATATTTGGATCTGATCTGCTAGGCCCTCCCAGCTTAATCTCCTTGCTTTCATATCATGAGGTATTGATTTACCAGTTTCCCTAGGCAATTGTTTACTCTTCCTTTTATTCCATCTTTTAAGATCTGTAAGGAATATTTAAGATCAACATACTTTTAGTCTGATTACATCAGATACAGAACTTTAATGGATCCGTTAGTTGTTTTCTTCATTGATACAACAATATGTATACTTAATACTAATTAAACTAAGAACAGAAATTATCTAACATGTACATCGAAATCGCTACCTAATATTATAGGATTACTTTGATATGCTTAGGCAGCTGAAGAACATGATAGAGACCGGGTTCATCCACTACTACATGAAGGCCACCATGGAGAGGACCATGAAGGAGAAGAAGTACATGTACCAGGTCACGCGGCTCTCCAAGAACAGCGCCCACGGCTCCAACCTCACCCTCGCCTCTCTCAAGGGCATCCTCGAGTTCTGGGTCTGCGGACTCCTCATCTCCACCGCCGTCTTCTGCGCCGAGCTGGCTTCCGATCCTCTCGCCGGGTACCTCCGCGCCAGCAGGTTCTGTCTCCTCAGGAAGAGCGTCGGCCTCTTTCAGGACGAGAAGATTGTGAAATAAAGATATACTTGCTTGTCAATTTTAATCAATCTTTCAAATTAATCTGTTGACCTGTGTAACGAGAGTGATCAGCCATGACTGCGCGAGTCTGTTGTGTGATGTATTATCTGTCATTTGATTCTATATTTAACAACAACAAAACTCAACACAAGATAACGTATTGAATTGCCAGGATTTATTTCATGATAATCTATCGCCTCAAGAAAAATAATCCTGTATAAAAGACAATAATCTATAAAATATGTTTTTTTGCTCATCTAACTGTCAACTCCTCTCATCAGTCAGTCACAGTAGAGATATAGTTCTTAATTATGAAGTTGACTGACAAACGTCACACATACTCACTTAACACTAGTTTTTCAAAAAATGTACTTATATCTCATTGCCTCTAGGGTACATAAAACTCCTGCTCATCAGTCACACTTGGTCAAATAAAATATTTCAGAAACAGTTTAGCATCTTGTCCCACACTCCTTACAACCCTAACGTTAAATCACATGAACATAGCTTTTCTGAACAATAGTGATTTTTTAATAGGACCACACTTGGAAGAAAACTAAGATGTTAGACGTCAGGACGTGAGGATTTTTTCTCTTCGGAAACCAAAGGTTAAAGTAGTTGACAATATTGATTTTTAATTTTAACAATACTTCTAATAATGCATTTTAGAAAGAAATTTTAATGAATTTTATGTGCAAGGACCTAGTAATATATGCATTGCCTGAGGTAATTTTGGGATTTAAATTTCACTTAATAAATTCTCTTTCACATTAAACCGCCGTTTCATAAAATTTAAATAATATAAAATGTAGATTTAGATTATTTAATCATTTTTTTAACTTTCTAATTTTTTATTCACACCTGTTAAAAACATTAGTGACAATCAGTGAATTTCATAATGATGCAAAATGTAATGGCATGGAAGGCATGAGGGGGAGCGTTACCCAGCGGCACCTTCTCCTTGCGTAATATCTACATTAGGCGAGGAAGTCCGTCATCCATCTCCTCTTCAGTCTCCTACGGACTTTACCTGACATTTGTGTTGAGGCAATGTCATTTACAAGTATGTTAGGGTGTCCCTTTAAGTTGTCATGGAATCGTTTGTCGTATGTTCATTAACAATCGGCTTATGAAGGTCAGTATTCAAGGTCAGTCTGTAAGGTTATGTTACTAACGTACCAAGGTGCTTGTGTAACTGTCCTGAATGTTTTTGCTTACAATTTTTTTTATTTTAGTCTTTTATGTAAATATCTGTGATACGTAAGTCCAAAAAGGTTTTATTAAGTAATTGTAAGTATTCAATTTCTATTAGTATTATTTTGGAGTGTTCCCAAGAAGTGAATTTAGAAGTCCTATTCTTTGATTTAGAGATTTTTTTTTAAGGTCCGGTTTTTTTTTTTTAAGGTTTGGATGCCATGTCGAATTTTGGATTTTTTCGTCGAATGTCAGTCCAAGATAGTGAACGGAGTCTGTCTCTGGAATCTGTGTGTTATCAAGGAAAACTGTAGGGCATGTTTCATGTCGGTAAATGCGATGTGCCGTTACTTGTCTTGATTTAGTCGGATTTTCTAATGTTAAAACCATGTAATAATTAAAATCCCATAGTAATATACATTCATACATGTTTCTACCAGTGCAAGTACTGACGCATTTCTAAGGATCTATCAAAAGTTTCGTGTTGAGACACGTTTAGCCGGAAGTACTCAAGATACTGCGGAGCTATGTATTAATAATGTTTAATGCGGTTGGCATCCGTTAACTAAACAAATTAATACAAAAAGCTTTAACGGAAATAGTACTTATGATTCATTTAGTTTTTGTATGACAAAAGAATTCACTAAGATCTTTTAAAAAATAAATTTTAAAAAAAGCAACTAAGGTGCGTGCTTTAGACAAAACAATAGAAATGAAAATATCAACAAGCCGAGATTAATAATATAAAATATAAATTTTAAATAATAACCCTTTATAATGTGTTTATTAATGTTTATATTTATAAAATTTAATTATAAAGAAGATGAAATGCTGAACATTTCTCTCGCATATAGTACACAGGTCCGATTTTTAGTTTCTGATATATTTTAATCCATGTGTTCAACTATAATCGTTATCGTTTTGTTTTCAACACTATTTTTTCCTTTTCGCCTCCCTAACACGGCATCGCGTTAAGATACGATTTTGAATTATAGACTATTATAGAGTAAATGCTGAACAATTTCATCGCTTACAGTACGCAGACCCGATGTTTTAGATTTCTATATTTTTAAAGAGATTACTATAAGCACCATACTGACAAATAAAGAACTAAGAAGACGAAAAGTTAGCTTAAAACTTTATATGAAATGTATCCATTTATTTTATTTATGGCACTCCACCGGATAGATACCGAAGTGGATCTATAAATGCTCATTGAATATTTAAATACTAAACATTTTGATTATTTTTTGTTTATTTTATTTTATTTTTGGGTATTAAGGAAAAGGGAATATTTTTCTTAAAAGTCATATGAATTGCCACGTTGATCGCTGACTGCTCTCAAATTACAAAGAAAAATTCAAATAAGAGTTTATAATGTAAATTTGATTGAAATCCTACCCTATCCTAAGCAATATTAATAAAACGAACAAGATTTTTTTTTTTTTTTTTTTTACAATTATTGGCCAAAGTTCAGAGACTCCTCTTCTAAAGTGACTGATGCAAGAAGCACAGGAAGAGATGAGAATAGGAAATCACTTCCCTCCATCTTCGACATTCCAGTATTTCTTTTGATTGTTATCAATTGAAATGTGTTGATAAATATCTTTAAAAAAAGAACGCTTTTATTAGAAATAATTGATATATGTAGTCAAATTATTTTTAAGGAATGGATGTATATAATCATATCAATAAAAAATAGATGTTCTAATGGCTTGTTGATAAGAAGGGTCACAATTTAAATCAATATATTCTTTGGCATGCAATATCTCTACGATAAACAAGAAGATAACAGGTCAGTAGGATTTTTCAAAACTGCGCGGCTTCCTCCTTATCAATGTTTTGGTAAAGGTGTGTTTGAACTTAAATTTCTCGTGATAATTTGGTGAATGAAAAAAAAAATGATTGAATTTCAGTGAACTGGGAAAACAGTTCAAACCCATCGGGTGGTATGATTTTTCTAATCAATTAGAAACCAATGTGATAAATTGTTGATAAGAGTATAAAAAATAAGCCTTTCTTTTTAGCCCGTTATCAACCAGCAATAAAAGTTTACGTAAGTGTTGCCTTGTAGTATGTTGATAGGGACCAGGTTTTTTATTGTAAATATGAAAAAAAAACAAGCAAAAAAAACATAAACACAAGCTAATGGATTTTGACTCTATTAGTCCGGAGGTCATGATTCTTTGATAGGTTTTTTTGTTTTTATGTTAATTTGGTCTACACTAATTAAATTACATAGATAAAATGATAATGCGTTGTACAATATTTTTAAAGTTTAATATTAATAATATCTTTATGTGTATTGCATCGTTTCCAAACTCAAATGATAATTAGTATTTTTTTTTCTCCTTTATTTTTTAAAGAATATGGACCATTCTCGTAAAAACAGCAAATCTCCCTCCTAAATTTATGATTCTACATAAAAATAATTCAACAATTTAATGATAAGTTACAAAAAAAAAATTAACCATAAAATTTTTCATTCTCTCACTCTTTGCCAGCCTAAGTTATGAAAATTAAAAATAAGCGTCTGCCAAGCAAAGTCAGTATAGCTTCTTCAACGTTTTCATTGACTAAATAATATCTATATTTCAAAGTCTGGAATTTTTCGTATGAGAAAATTACTCAGACATCATTGATAAATAGTTTGATATCGGTATTTTCCGGGCTGATACGGTATGCCTAAAACATTACAATATTATTACATTACAAAAAATACAAATTATAAAGTTAAAGATTGTACCAGAATTTACTTACATTGCCTTATTCTAGAAGTATGATAAAATAAAGGACTACAAATATGACATGGGCGTTGCTGTTTAAAAATTAATGAAGGAAACCTTTTTTTTTTTTTTGTTTGTTTTGAGGAAGCTCCGTTATATCATACCTATATATATAGTTTTATAACAAAATCTTTAAAATTAACCGGTTGGCCGACTCAGAAATGCGAGATATGGATACTCGAAACATGACGTAGCTACTAGGCAATTCATCAAGACCGATACGGGGCCGGTTTTGTTATTTTGTTATTATTGGATCCGCGGTGGTGGAGCGGGTTAAGGCTCTTGAAAAACGTTTAGTTATTTTCCCGTTTGCTTAATAACAAATATAAAAATAAATAATAATAAATTAAGGCAAATAAGTGCAGGCCCTACTCGATTGCTTAGACCACTATGGCGCGGGTTCGATTCTCGCTTGGAACGGTATTGTTGCCACCCGGAGATTCACAGGGAGGTGAGCGATTCCTGTGTCTTACACTATGGCCTATTACACGACTGGTCGAACTAAAATTGAATTTCCTTTATTCTATTGGGAGGTCGTTTAAGAAGATCTCTATTGTAAAAATGGTATAATTATAAATAGTTACAAGGAACACAACGGTATGCAATTTATAGGGATGTGGGGAGGGAGGGGTGCACGGTTGAGGGGAGGGTCTGGCTTACAGACTAAATGGCCTTCCAGATCCGGGAAAAATTAAAGAACTATATAACAAATATGAAACTTAGTAACTCACTCATACACGAGATTACTACAACATTCATTGTTTCAGTTTTTCTCTTAAAAAGTTCATTTCACCTCTGGAGTGTCATTTATAGAAGAAGATTTTTTTTTTTTCATTGAAAGCCATGGTATGCAGGATTTACAAGGAGATCTGAACATGCGGAATGTAGTGGAGACCTCAATGTAGATCGGGTTCCATAAAGTTTGGAGATCTCTGTCTTACACCATAGTTCCTGATCCACCAGGTTGGGGGTGGACATAGGCTAATAATCCTCTATTCCATAAAAAAAAATAATAATAATAAAAACAGGATGGTTAATTCTGGGAAAGGTTAACAATCATCCT